GCGAGATCACGGCCCAAAGCCCAATAAGATTTGCAGCATGTTTGAAACCCGGTGGCGCTCCGCACATAGATCGGCGGGGCCAGGGTTTGAAAAGCACATTGGATTTGCAACATGTCAATACTTCGTAGAACAGATTTTTGCAAAGCATACGCAAGCAAGCTCAAAATACAACACCGAATTCAACAATAGCATCAGGATCTCAAATTGTCTTGCCGATTACTCATCGTTTTCGCGTGAAGTCCCGACGCTGCTTCACGGCCGCGCCAAGGCCTCATGATTTCGCTCTTGCATTGCCCATTATCCGGGAGAGGGAGGGCCAGCGGCAGGGGGCGAAGCCCTTACGGCTATTTGTATATACATATGTATATATATATATATGCACATATATATATATATATATATGTTTGTGTATATATATATATATATATATGTGTACCAGGCTGCATTGGCGCTGCGCACCATGCACCTTGGTCCTTTGAGTTTCGCACGCAAGCGGGGTGAGTGCGTACATCCACACATATATATATATATAGATGTACCACACATGTATACTGCTATATATATATATATATCTATATATATATATATATATGTACACAGATTTCATATAAACATGTGAATGTATATGTGTATGTCAATCGCAGGTGTTTGTTGGCGCACGCACGTACATGTAATTATGCGTGCGCACACACATGCGTATTTCAGGCGGTAATGGCCGAACCACCTGCCCAAGGCATCTCGCAACTCAGAGGTGCGAGGGTCTCAGCCGAAAGTAGCCAGACTACTACGGGGCAGTGCATCTCCGATGTCAGCGTTGCGAAGATGTTTCACGCGAAAGTGAACTCACTACCTCAGCTGAGGACATACCCGAACCTGGAATTGCGAGGATGTCTCAAACGAAAACGGCCCGAACACTTCAGCTCAGGGCATCCCTGAATCCAAAATGCGAGGATGTCTCAGGTGAAAGTGGCGGACTACTCTGCGGTAAGGCATCTTGGAATCTAGAGTTGCGAGGATGTTTCTAGCGAGAGTGGCTGGAACACCTCAGCTCAGGGAGCCCCGGAACCCAGAGTTGCGAGAAGGTCTCAAGCGGAAGTGGCCGGACAACTTTGGGGCAGGGCTTCTCTGGGGTCAGAGTTGCGAGGATGCCTCAGCCGACAGAGCGCTCAGGATCGGAAGTCATGGCATGTAGGCTGGAACTGACGCGGATGCAAGACGCTGGGAGCTGGCCTCCGAAATCGTTGAAAGACAAAAGGACCTGAGAGGGACTCAACGACGGGCGCCGCCAGAACCTTTGGGACAAATCTGGAGGCCATGTGAACGTGTCGGAGTGCTACGTGTGATTGCTACGCGGCAAAACGTATCCGAGGTTGACGTTGCGAGGGTGTCTCAGGCGAAGCTGGCCCGAACACTACGGGGCAGGGAATCTCCGAAGTCAGCTGCGCGAGGGAGTCTCAAGCGAAGAGTGGTCTGAACACCTCAGGCCGGAAGGTCGAATAACCCCTTTGCAAGAGCGTCCGAGCAACCCCCGGGGAGCTTCCCAGCAGGTCGAGCAGCCCGGGAAGGGGCTTCCCAGCAGCCCGGGGAGTCCGAAATGCGTTCGTGTGTGTGTGTGTTTGCGTATGTACGAATGTGCACGTGTACATCCCCAGGAACGACGGTGTGAAGTCTTGAGCAGACCTGTATGAGATAACCGCCGTCGGATCCCATGAAGCTCTCGCGGATCCAAATGTGGTTTTGGTGTTTGTTTCGATGGATCCGATTTCCGTCCGTACGGATCCGATTTCGGATTAGCTGGCTCCGTGTCCGGTCTCATTTTTTAACGGCGGATCCGATTTCGACCCTGTTTTAACTTTATTTTATTAAATTTAAACAGGGGGCCGGAAAAAACAGATCCGCGGACCCCGCCAACCGCCCGCGTTAAGATTCTATGGGGGAGGGGGGTTCGGTAATCAACTTTCCACGATGGGCCCTGCGTCGTCTCGCGCACTTCCATCAACTCCCCGCGCGAGCGGGCCCCAGTCAACATGAAAACATACATCCCTCTCCCCCCGGTTGCTGCAAAGAGCTCGTCCGGTCGTCGTCTTTTCGGCGGCGCCGACGTTGTCTCGCGAACTCCTCATGACCATTTTCACCTCAAGAAGAAAATCTTTCGTCCTGCGTAAATATGTACGTATGGATATCAAATGACAACGCCTTCCAACGTCTGCCCAAGAGCGTTTGACGCTCGTTTCACACGGTAATGTATTGTTAACCGATGTCTACATCCGTGCAATAATTGCTTTACTGGGGAATTCCATGAAAAACGCTCTTGGGCCGTCTTGGGCCGTTCGTGGCCCGAAAAAGTGAAAAACGACAAAAACCTTCAAGCCTGTTTCAAAAAAGAACAATGGATTTTGCCTCTTTGGGCCTTCTTGGGGGCCCTTTTGGGCCGTTTTGGGTCTCTCTTGGGCCGTTTTGGGGCCCTTTCGGGCCGTCTTGGAGCGTCTTGGAGGCCTTCGGCCGTCTTCGGGCTGTCTTGGGGGCCTTTTGGGGCCCTCTTGGGAGCCTCTTAGGGTGCTCCTGAGGCTCTCTTGGGGCCGCCTTGGGGCCGTCTTGGGGCTCCCTTGGTAATTTTCGGGCCCTCTTGGGCCGTCTAGGGGCCCTCTTGGGCTGTTTTCGGGCCCTTTGGGGGGCCTCTGGGGCCGTGTTTGGGGCTCCCTTGGTAATTTTCGGGCCCTCTTGGGCCGTCTAGGGGCCCTCTTGGGCTGTTTTCGGGCCCTTTGGGGGGCCTCTGGGGCCGTGTTGGGACGATCTTTGGAGCCTATTGGGCCGTTTTGGGCCGTTCTTGTTCCGGAAAAGCGAAAACCGACAAAGCCTTCAAAAATCATTGACAAATCCATTAATTTTGCCTCTTAGGGCCCTCTTGGGAAGCCTCTCGGAGGCCTCTCGTGGGCGTTTGGAAGCCATGTTGAAGGTTTTGGTGCGCTTTGGAACTGTCGACGAGCTGTCTTTGGCAATATTGGAGGCCTCTTTGGACCTTCCGAGACGGCCAGAAGGCCGAAGGTACCCTTTGCAAGGGCGTCCGAGCAGCCCGGGGGGAGCTTCAAGCAGCCCGGGGAGTCCGAAATTCGTTAGGTGGGGTGGGGGGGCGCTTTTTCCGGGGTCCCCGGCCCTATAAAACATATAAATAGGAATATAAGTCCACGTAGATTGCACCCTGTGTGGGGCTCACATTAGTAATATTACACACATATATATACATATACAAAAGCAAGTACACATAAGAATATGTATGGGCGACGGGCACGTCGCCCCAGAGCCGCTCACGCGGCGGCGGCCTTAGCAGCTGCCTGCGCCGCGCGGGCGCGCCCTGTGAGTGAGGGGAGGGAAGGGGGAAGACCGGGATGATGATCATGCTGATGCTGCTGATAATATTAATAATAACAATAATAATAATGTTGCTGATGCTGTTGCTGGTAATGATGACGCTGATGATGATGGTGATGGTGATGATGATGATGTTGTTGCTGTTGCTGCTAATGATGACGTTGATGATGAAGATGATGATGATGATGATGATGATGATAATGATGCTGATGAGGATGATGATGATGATGAGGAGGAGGAGGAGGATGATGATGATGATGAGAACGATGATGATGCTGATGATGGGGAGGATGATGATGATGGTCGAGGTGGTCCTGATGGTGATTCTGGAGATGAAGATGGTGATGCTGACGACGACGGCGACGACGACAATGGCCTCTCGTTCCGAAGGTGGACGATTGCCGTGGCAGCGGCAGGGAGGGAGATGGGGGGAGAGGCAGGGGCGGGAGGGAGGCAGGAGCGAGAGGGAGGGGCGGAGGAGGTAGGGGATCAGAGGGTATGGCCAACACATAATTAGCGAAGGACCGAGGGAGGAGGAGGAGGAGGAGGAGGAGGAGGAGCAGGAGAACCAACCCAAGACTCACGAACGATGTTGCAGTAAACCCTCTCTCCAAGCTCCCTGAAATTTGCACGGGGAAGCGGATCCTGACGCATACGGGACCCTGGTGTATACACTCTCCGTTGTTTACCTGGGAGAACAGGGAAATACACCACACCGCTCCCACGTCGCCCGCGACACTCAAAAAGTCCGAGGGATTGAAAAAAACGGCCCGCCACTGCTGATGTATGTGCTCCAGTTTCCGGGAGTGGCCCTACGAGATCCGCCCTGCCACATCACCTTGGGTGACCCAAAAAGGGGTCCAGCTGAAAAGGGGTGGTGCAATAGATTTGGGGCAAGTGTATTGCAAATGTACTGCGCCGGAGAATTGTGCTGCATTGCACTGCAAATAATGCATTGCACGCGAACGCCCAGCAACGAACTTGCGCCCCTGACCGTCTTGCACGCCCCAAGATGTATTGCAACCCCACAGATCTATTGCACCAGAATCTATTGCACCACCCCCTTGTCGCTGGACCCCAGTTTGGGTCAACCCGAATCACGTCACGGCCGCCGCCCTCTGGGTCACCCACCTTCGCGCCCCGCGATGCGCGGCCATCCTCGCGCCCTCGCGCCGCCCCTCTTTGGGAGACGGGCAGCCGCTCCAGGCCCAGACCGCGACGCGCGAGGAGCCAATCATTGGAGGCCTCCTAAATTGAAGGGGCCCAGGGACACACAAACCAATACACACAATGCCCAGGATCCCCCATGTTTTCTCATATTTTCTGGGTGTTCGTCTTCCCCCCCACTTCCCATACTTTCCCACATTTTCCTGGGAGTCGACGATCCATTATGTCTGTGGATGCCTTTCCCTCCTGGCAAATGGGGTCCGAGTAGATGGGGTCGGAGGATCGCACCGCACCGCCAGTGCATCGGCTCCGTCGGCGTGGAGAATTTCAGGCTCCACATCGAGCCGCAGCGCCGATACATCGGCGATGCGGCTCGCCCCTCCGACCCCATCAACTCCGACCCCGTCTGGGAGGCCCAAGACTTATCTCCGCGCCCTCGCGGGTGACCTGGCACGCAAGAGCGACCCCGAGCAACAGAGTGACCTTTGGTGAGCGACCTTTGGGGCGCGTGAGGGGGGCCAAACCCAAGAGCGCAGGCCGCTGCTGTCGCACCGCGCTCAACGATCAAGTGAGGCCCGGTGCGCCCGCAGCGAAGGTCAATCCGGCGAAGGGTCACTCCTACGTGTACGGCTGGACCTAGGACAAAAGAACACCCTTCAAGGACATAAAACCCTCCGCAGGCCAAGCTCAAGAACATCCATGGGCACCCTCCCCGGGATGCACAAGAACACCCAACAAGCACGAAGAACACTCCCAGACCTGCGACATCGTGATTTTTCCCATGCGCGGTCCCCGGAAGTCCCGATCCTTTCCCCGGGACCAGTTTTCCATCCGGAGTCGTTTTCTGACGGCCCCGAGGCCCAGCAAGGGCCTCCAGAGGCCCCAGATGGCCCGAAACCTGCCGTTCCGATTTCTTCACGCCGCGAGCAGGTCTGGGCCAACTAATGGAGGATGACGATCAATAAATGACCGGGGGTCGTGTTCACGCGGCGGCGCCCGGGATGACGATTAGAAAACACTGGGCGCGGGCTGGAAAACTATTTTTCTTAATCGTTCTCCTCCAGTCAGAGAATTGTACAGAAATAGCAGAAAACTGCATTTAATCGTTCTCTCCCATTTCTGTTATTAATCGTCATCCCGCATTAGGGTAGAGCCTCCCCGAACCGGCTTCGATCTTACACCTCGGTCCGGCTGCACCAGCCCGGCGACGCTGGCTGTGCGCAATTAAATGCGGCACGGTGCGGCACGGGCCCTCGCCTCGCCGGAGCGTGGAGACGGGCGGCGACCGCCTCGGCCACGCTTCCCAGACGTGGGACGCCCATGATGTTTTCCATGCGCGGTCCCCAGAATCAAGTCGGGCCTGTCCCCCTACAGGGGGACCTTCGAGGGAAAAAAATAAAGACTACCCCAAGAATAATCAAAAAATAATAACCAAAAAAAATAGTCTGGGGACAATGTTTTGAATACTTTTTGACCATTTCGGGGTATTTTTGCAGTGTTTTTTATTTTTCGTCGAAAATCCCCCTGTAGGGGGACACGCCCGACATAATCCTAGAATCCCTGATCACTGGACGCTGGAATTTTCCAGTCGCGACCGACGAGAGCGGTCGCTCCCGATTCTGCTTCAAATCTCGGTATCGGTCGCGACCGCTCTGCTTCACAGGTCGCGATTGGTCGCGGCCGATCTGGAGTGCCGATCGGCCGCTACCGATCGCGACCGACAAAAAATCGGTGTCCAATGATCTGGGAAGTCCCGGCCCTTTCCCTTGGACCTGTTCCTCATCCTGCGTCGTTTTTCGAAGGTCCTGGGGCACGGCGAGGGCCCACAGACGCCGAAAACGGCCAAGAACCTCTCGACGTGATGTTTGAACGACCCGAACCGACCTCGATCTTATACAGTCGGGTTTCCTTGGACAGGACACGCGAGAGGACACAAAACCCCGCCGAGGGTCCCATTGCCATAGGAATACAGGAGGCACGGGTCGCGAGACACAGGACACAAAGGTACCATTGATTTCTCGGGGATGGACAGATCCCCTTTAGTAAAACGTGGTTTAGTGAAAACGACCTCGGGCCCAAACCTGGCGGGCGCAAGCCTGGAAAATGACGGCCGCGGCGCCCTCTGGAGAACCGAGAACGGCCAATTCCTTCATCGACGTGTCAGTTTGGACGCCCGAAATGGGTACGGAAAGAATGGGTAACTACTATGCCCAACAGCAAATGTTGTCCCAAACCAACAGCGGCCGCTGTTGGGCAGGCGGCCTTCTGTCTCGAATGGACACAGGCCGCGGCGGCGCGGACAGCGAGCCCTGTTCAAAATGAACAGGAACTGCTGTTGGGCATTGTACCCATTCTTTCCGTACCCATTTCGGGCGTCCAGAGTCAAGGTAGGAGGTCTGTCCACCCCCGAGACCTACCAATCCGGGCCGACTGCACCTCGCGGCCCAGCCGCAGTCGACCCGGGCCCTCCAGACGCCCGTCAATAGGGGGCCACATGCGAACCCTACCCCTACCCCCCTCAGAAGTCGTGGGGGGTAGGGGTAGGGTTCGCGCGTGGCCCCCTATATCGGGTCGGGCGAAAGGGGGGGATAGCAAAGGGGGAGGTTGAGAATCAGCTCACGTAGCTGATTTCCCCGGCGCCTCCCGGCGCCGGGAGGCGGCCATGTATCGAGGAATGGGGCCCCTCGTGGGGCCGAGACCAGCTGCATGCAGCAGATTTCGTACCCCCCCCCTTTCCCTATCCCCCTTTCGCCCTGCCCGACTATAGCCCGGGTCGACCCCTACCCCTACCCTATTCGGCATGGCCTCTACCCCTACCCCTACCCATTGGGATCAGGGTCATGCCACCCCTGGGATTGGGCACCCCTGGCCTCTCCCTGGTGTGCCTACCCCTACCCCTAAGGGTTCGCGCGTGGCCCCCTATAGCCCGGGTCGACCTACCAATCCGGCCCGACTGCACCTCGCGGTCCAACCGCAGTCGACCCGGGCCCTCCGGACGCCCGCCAGAAGCCACGGCTTCGCGGGGCCCCGAGCGGGGGCCTCCCGCGGCCGTGCGGGATACGCTCTCCCGGGGGCACCCCCGCGGAAAACGCTCGCCCGGCGAGGCGCCGCTGCCGGCGAGGCCTCCGGCGGCGGGAGGGCCGACGAAAACCGACGAGCAGGAGCGAGCACCTCGAATATAGGGGGCCGCACGCGAACCCTCGCCCTCCCTTGCCCTCCTCCCCCCTCCTCCTCCTCCTCCTCCTCCTCCCCCCGAGCTCCTCCTCCTCCTCCTCCTCCTCCTCCTCCTCCTCCTCCTCCTCCTCCTCCTCCTCCTCTCCTCCTCCTCCTCCTCCTCCTCCTCCTCTCTCCTCCTCCCCCTCCTCCTCTCCTCCTCCCTCCTGCTCCTCCTCCTCCTAGGGGGCCGCATGCGAACCCTACCCCTACCCCCCACGATTTCTGCGGGGGAGGGTGGGGTTCACTCCGCCTCAGAAATCGTGGGGGGTAGGGGTAGGGTTCGCATGTGACCCCTGTCGAACCTCGAACCTCGAACCCAGACCTCGAACCTCGTGCCCTCCCCGAATCGACCCACCGCATACTCGACCCAGGCCCCCCCGTGCGCCCGTCAAGCAACGGGGACCGGCGCATAGCCGCCGGGCGCAGGTGCTGCGGGCCCTGCCAGGTACGCTGGGGGCGAGCCTGGCCCGGGGGCTGGAGCTGTCCACCCCGCCGTCTGGACCCAAGATGGCTCGAGCTTGAGAGGAGGAGGAGGAGGAGGAGGAGGAGGAGGAGGAGGAGGAGGGGGAGGAGGAATAGCGGAGGAGTAGGAGGAGGACCCGGTGGATCAGGAAGAGGAGGTGGAGGTGGATGATGAGGATTACACCGAGGACCAGGGCGAAGAGAGGAATTCGCAGCAGAAGAAGACGGGGGTAAGGAGGAGGATGCTGATGATGATGATGACGATAACGAGGATGAGGATGAGGATGAGGATGATGATGATGATGCTGATGATGAGGATGATGATGATGATGATGCTGATAATGTAGATGAGGAGGATGAGGATGAGGATGATGATGATGACGATGATGATGAGGAAGAGGAAACAATTGAGGACTACTATAGACAGTCGGAAGCTTGGCGGATGAGGATAGGTAGGGAGGCGGTGATGTCAGGAGGAAACACAAGAAAACAGAGACGGAGAGGACGGGAAATACAGTGGCGGAGGACGACGACGATCAGAAAAGTGATCAGGAGAAAGAACAGGAGGATGACGAACAGGAAGGCGAGGAGAACGAGAAGAGGCCGTCCTCCACACCGTTAACGTCGTCGTCGGTCTCCTCGTTCTCCTCCCCCCCTCCACCTCTTTGTCGTTGTCTTGCAGGAGGAAGGGGTGACGCTGCGGGTGCGGGTGCGTGTGGGATTGCGTGCGTGTGTGTATGTGTGTGTGTGTTTGTGTGCTTGTGTGTGTGAGTGTGTGTGTGGTGTTAGCCCCTAGCCTACAGTGGTCTTGATCGCACGTCACTGATGCGAACATCATTGTGCAATCCTGTGGAGGCGCGTAAAAAAAGGCTCACCGACATTAAACTTTGTCATGTGTCTGTGAGTCGGTGTGCTCGTGTGTTGCTGTGTCTACGTGTGGCATGTCATGCCTGTCTCGCGTCTCGCCGACCCCTTCTTGCCGTGACCGTGAGCAGCCTCTTGCGCTGTGCTTCCCCGCTCCCCCCGGGCCCGCTCACGCTGTCGCTGGCCGCCGGTCGGGCCTCCTCTGCTGGTCTCGAGGCCGCCTTGGCCTGCTCCCGTCGGCCCGGGGCTCTGGCTCTCCTTCGCTCGCACACTCATTGCGCCCTGCATCGGCCGGGCCTCCTCGCACACTCATCGACGTTGCTCGCACACTCTTTTCGCGTTGCGCCTCCCAAGAGACAACCACTGCGCTGAGGATGAGAGTGGCCAGCTGCCCCACGGAGCGCAAGGGAGTTCCACCATGCGGAGCACCAGCCACGAACGAGGAGGGCGAGAAAGCAGGGACGCCGAGGGGGGAGAGCGGGCAGCGTGGTCGCAGTAGGCATCTGTCACGCGCGCGTCGGCCGCCTACGACCCCGGCCCATGCCAGAAGCACGCAGCATGGGCCACATGGGGGGGGGAGGGCAGGAGGGGAGAGGCGGAGGAGAAGGCGAGCTTCTGCTCAGCGGTCGATCGAGCTTGGCCCCCATGATGTTTCAGCTGCAGCTTCGCTCCCACACAAGGTGGTCAACGTAATTACCTTGAGCGGACCCCGCCTGGTTTCTTTTCCGGCAGCAGTCGGCCGCATCCCATCGGTGCGCAGGAGGAACAACGACGTGTGTACGTGTGTGTGCGTGCGTGCGTGCGTGCGTGCGTGCGTGCGTGCGCGCATGCGCGCGCGCGCGCGTGCGTGCGTGCGTGCGTGCGTGCGTGCGTGCGTGCGTGCGTGCGTGCGTGCGTGCGTGCGTGCGTGCGTGCGTGCGTGCGTGTGTGTGTGTGTGTGTGTGTGTGTGTGTTGTGTGTTTGTGTTTGTGCGTGTGCGTGTGCGTGTGCGTGTGCGTGTGCGTGTGCGCGTGTGTTCGTGTGTGCGTGTGCGTGCGTGTGCGTGTGCGTGTTCGTGCGTGTGCGTGCGTGCGTGCGTGTGTGTGTGTGTGTTTGTGTGTGTGTTTGTGTGTGTGTGCGTGCGTGCGTGCGTGCGTGAGTGCGTGCGTGCGTGCGTGCGTGTGTCCTGCCTGTCTGAGCTGCTCGCTGGCTCGCTCTGGCGTGGCCTCTCTTGAAGCTTTCAGTCTAGCGCAGGTGCCCACATGCTGTGGCCAAGTCGTTGCTTACGTGACCCGCAACTTTGCATCCGTCAACCGGCGTCCACCCGCGCGTCGGAGAGAAAAAGCGTTCGCGTGTGCGTGTGTGTGTGTCCATGTGTGTGCCGTACCGCTTGCAGAAGGAAGAAGGAGGGAGGTGGAGGTGGTGAGAGAACCCAAGGGAGGGTACATTTTGGGCCGGGCGAAAGGGGGGGATAGCAAAGGGGGGGCTCGAGAATCAGCTCGCGTAGCTGACTTTCCCGGCGCCCCCCGGCGCCGGAGGCGGTCATGTGTCGAGGAGTGGGCCCTTCGGCGGAGCCGAAGCCAACCGCATGCAGCAAACTTCGTAACCCCCCCTTTCCCAATCCCCCCCTTTTGTCCGGCTCTCTGGGCCCGTGCTGACCCGTTCCTGGGCCCGTGCTGACCCGTTCCTCGAGCCGGGCCGGCCCGAACATGGAGGCAACGGCGGCTCTCACGCCCGGCCCGTGCCGACCCGTTTCCTCGAGCGAGGGCCCGGCCTTGGCGGCGAGAGGCCTCCGTGAGGCCCAACGTGGCGAACCGCGCCAGGCAGGGCCGCCGCCGTTTTGACTGGCCCTCGGCCGAAGGAGAGGGGGAGGAGGAGGAGGAGGAGGAGGAGGAGGAGGAGGAGGAGGAGGAGGAGGAGGAGGAGGAGGGGAGGAGGGAGCAGGAGGAGGAGGAGGGAGGAGGAGGAGCAGGAGGAGGAGGAGGAGGGAGCAGGAGGAGGAGGAGGAAGAGGAGGAGGAGGGAGGAAGAGGGAGCAGGAGGAGGAGGAGGAGGAGGAGGAGGAGAAAGAGTAGGGAGGAAGAGTAGAGGGTGGGCAATGATAGGGGGGACTGGCTCAGGGGGGAAGCAACGCTGTGGAGTTGGCGGTATCTCGCCGAAGCCACTAGGCGGTGAAACCGCGCCTTCCTGGGCAAGGGCGGACTACCAGGTCCCTACTGTTATGTCGGGCCTGTCCCCCTACAGGGGGATTTTCGACGAAACATCAAAAATACACTAAAATAACGCCGAAAAGGCAAGAAAATACTCAAAAAATAGTGCCCAGACTATTTTTGGACAATCTTTTAATTATTTTTGGGGGAATCTTTTATTTCTCGTCGACAGTCCCCCTGTAGGGGGACAGACCCGACTGGCGACCAGTGGGCGATTGAGGGTCGCTTTTCCCACCCCGAGCCCATCCCCCTCCGGTGACCCTCGTCGCTCGGCCTCCGGGCCACGACTCGGACCTCTCGGCTGCCGCTCGGGACGAGCCGGGCGCCCGTGGAAGCGCCCCCGGCGAGGCGCGAATCCGCTGGAGGGCATGCCGAGGCTGGAAGAACTCCGAGAACCGGAAACAGGCTCCCAAAAACCATACAGTCCAGGTGCTACCGGAAGGAACGCCAAGGGGCTTTTCTGGCCACGGTAGGCCTAGGCCACAAGCAAATCCCGTGACATAAATCGAAGAAACGACCCAAATACCCGAGCCCCTTCCGAACCCAGAGCGGTCCTTATTTCAGCGTCTTGGGTGTAACGTCCTACCTTGAGGGAGCCGGCCAAAACGGCCTGGCGAGGACCAGCCGCTGGAGCGCACCCTGGGGCTGGAAAGTCGACCAGAGCTGGCAGAAACGCCCCGGAAGCCAGAACCTCAAGCCTTGAGCCGCCGGCAAGAGAGGGGGGGGAGTGAGGAGGAGGAGGAGGAGGCGGAGGAGGAGGAGGAGGAGGAGGACGAGGAGGAGGAAGAGGAGGAGGAGAGGAGAGGAGGAAAAAGAGGCTGCCATGTGCTCGGGAAGCGCGCGGAAACTTCTCTAAAGGCCCGAGGGCCTCCGAGCCTTCCGAGAAGGCCCGCACCTTCTCACTTCCGCCGGTCGCGAGAACCGACCAAAACGCCCCACACCTCCTTCTCCCCCTCCTCCTCCTCCTCCTCCCTCCTCCTCCTCCTCGTCTCTCCTCCTTTTCCTTTTCTCCTCCTCCTCCTCCTCGTCCTCCTCCTCCTTTTTCCTTTTCCTCCTCCTCTCTCCTCCTCCTCTCCTGCCTCTCCTCTCCTCCTCCTCCTACCTCCTCCCTCCTCCCTCCTCCTCCCTCCTAATCCCCTCCTCCTCCTCCTCCCCCACCCTCCTCCTCCCTCCCTCCCTCCTCCTCCTCCTCTCCTCCTCCTCCCTCTCCCCTCCTCCTCCCTCTCCTCCTCCTCCCTCCTCCTCCTCCTCCTCCTCCTCTTCCTCCTCCTCCCTCTCCCTCCTCCCTCCTCCTCTCCTCCTCCTCCTCCTCCTCGTCCTTCTCGTCCTCCTCCTCCAGTCCTCCTCCCCTCCTCTCCTCTCTCTCCTCTCCTCTCCTCCTCCTCCTCCTCCTCCTCTCCTCCTCTCCCTCTCCTCCTCCTCGTCCTCCTCCTCCTCCTCCTCCTCCTCCTCCCCCTCATCACCCCCTTACGTTCCCCCTGAGGGAGGAGCTCTGGGCGGCGCCGCCTGCTTCTCGTACCACGCCTTCACCTGGCGGGCTCTGTCGCGCTGGGAAGAGGAAAAGGAAGGAGGGGAAGGAGGGGGGAGGAGGAGGAGGAGGAGGAGGAGGAGGAGGAGGAGGAGGAGGAGGAGGGGGAGACGGAGGAGGAGGAGGAAAGGAAGAGGAGGAGGAGAAGGCGGATCATCATGATGATGCAGCTAATGACGATGATGAAGATGATGACGATGATGGTGATGGTGGTGGTGATGATGGTGCTGCTGATGATGATGGCGATGATGGTGATGATGATGATGTTGCTGATGATGATGCTGCTAATGATGATGGTGATGGTGCTGACGACGAATATGATGATGATGTCGATGATGCCGATGATGATGATGATGCTGAAGCTGAAGCTGATGATACGAATGATGGTGATGATGGGGAAAAGGATGCTGCTGATGCTGATGTTGCTGATGATGATGCTGATGATGATGATGTTGCTGGTGATGATGAGGAGGAGGAGGGGGAGGAGGAGGAGGAGGAGGAGGAGGTGGAGGGGGAGGAGGAGTAGGATGCAGAGGAGGATGAGGATGTAGATGATGATGGGGAGGAGGAGGACAAGGAGGAAGAGGAGGAGGAGGAGGACGAGGAGGAGGAAGAGACAGGGGAAGAGGAGGAGGAAGAGGGAAGAGGAAGAGGGGGGGGAGGAGGAAGAGGAAGAGGAGGATAGTGGCAGAGGGAAGAGGACAAGGAAGAGGAGGAGGAAGAGGAGGAGGACGAGGAGGAAGAGTGAACGAAGCCTGGGGGGGCGAACGGCTCGCTTCGGTTAGTGGGCCCCCCTCTGTAATGGGAGCACACCGTCTCGGCTCGCGGGCGGGGCGGGAGGCACCGAGCGCGGAGCACGAGCATTAATAATGTGACTGCCTGGTGCGTCTTGCGAGGGCATAGGGCGCGGCAAGCTGGCCGCGCGCACACTGCGGGCAGGGCTGCCAGGGGTGGCAGCCAGGGGCACAGGGCGCGGCATTCGGACCGTGCGTGGGCGGCTCAGGGGCGTCAGACTGCCGCGGTGGCCAGCTCCTCCAGTGGTGTCATGAGGTAGTTGAAGAGCGTGCCGAGCAGCACGAGTGGCCGCGTGGCCTTCTGACGGCGTGACGCACCTCACGCTGGCAGTGTCCTTCAGGATGTGGTAGAGCCTCGCCGCAATTCCGTTCTCGCCGTCGAAGGGAGTCTCGAGCGTCGGGAGGCCGATCCGCGTGAGAATGTCAGTGGCCAGCTGCCCTCTGGGCTGGGCAACATGATGAAGAAGCCGTGGACACACAAGGTAGTGTTGTACAGCATCAGGGCACCTGCAACCGAAGATACAGTCGCGGCGCTGGGGGAGCACATGCATGCGTGTTGCCGTAGTCCATGCTCCAGCCAGCGCTCTCATGATGGCCCGCACTCTCGCAGGAGGCAGCGTCGCCAGGTATGTGCGAAGGCGGTGCCAGCGCTGTTGAAGATCTTCAGGAAGAGTCCCCAGTTGGACCAGCTCAGGAACGTCATGGGCAGCCAGCGGGTCCAGATCATCTTCAGCATCAGGATCATGATCATCGTCTCCAGGACGCAGTTCAGGGTCACCTCCAGGAGGGAAGCGCAGTCGTTGGCTGCGGACCCAGCGGCGCCTGGCGCGGTGTTCAGCAGTTGCCGTACGACGAAGCGCAAGTGCGCGCAGTTGAGCGGCAGGTTCCTGCGGGGCGTCGAGCAGAGCTGCCTCAAGACGAGATCGTGGGATCTCAGAAGCACGCCACGCTTCACGACATATAGTAGTTGCCAAGCGTCTGCGCTCGGCCCTGGTGGAGCATATGGGCAGGAAGACGTCGCGGTTGAACGCCCGCATGATACACTCGATGCACCACTCGTCCCACTCCTTCTTGTTGTCAATGTTGGGGTCCATCAGGAGAAGACCGGGGAGCCAGCTGTCAGCCCAGTGTGCCGCACGATCTTGTAGATTCGCTCTCGTGGTTTGAGCAAGCGGGAGCGCAGGGTCTTGATGACGCACTGGACGCGGCAGGAGATACCAGGCAGAGAGGCGTTTGGCTATGGTATTGTGGAACGTGTCATTGCGAAGTTTGGAGTGCAAGCCGAGGAGATCCACCTTCTGAGGTGACTGCGGGCGTGTCGGCGGGCCATCATCATTTCCAGCGCGGCGTCGTGGAGGTTGCGTCGCTGCGGCGCCAAGACGAGCCGCATGAAGATGTGCCGCACGGAGTGCAACGTGGGCCCGCCGTTCACCGCCAAGATCACGCACAAGTCTCTTAAAGTGTGAGCCAGCGGAGTTGACGTGGAACCCCGAGGTGGTGGTGTCGAAGAGGCGCTGCACGATGGAGATCGGGTTGATCCAGCATGGGGCGCTCCATTGGCCAGTGATCTCGGCAACGAAAGCCAGTGTGGCGATCGCATTCTCCTTCAGCTCGTGATACCATTGCGACCACCCAGTCAGTGTCTTCGTCGCCGTGCGCCACATCGTAGCCGCCAGCGTGAGTTCAATATCTGCAGGCACTTCGATTCGAGTCCAGCCCGTCATGCCGAAGATGTCGCTTTTGGAGAAACTGTTGGGTGCCATCCGGAGTATTTTGTGAAGAGCACGCTGTTCTCTGACAGGAAGGGCCTCAGGAGGTTCATAAAGTTGACCCACCTATGATAAACATGTAACGGCAGCCACATTAAATGTTTTGATATTGAGTTGCAAAGGTGAGAAACCCTCAGCCAGCTTGAGAACACGCTCCCACCACTTTGTCGCTGGAGCCCTCCATTGATCCTGCAGCAATGCTCCAGGTCCCACCTGAAAGCCGAGGTACTTGGCGGACGGGGCGATAGTGAAGCTCCTCCACGGGGTGTGGATGCTTTCGAGGATGTTCTGGATGTCTACTCTCAGGCTGGGGGTCGGCAGTGACCATGTGGGAACGATGACGCACTTCTTTGGTTGGAGCTGTAATCCCGCGAGGTTTTCTGCAGCGAGTAGATGAGGTAGAAGACGTTGAAGGTCGCGTAGACGGCGTAGTATGCTACCAAGGTCATCAGCACATGCGCTGAGAAGCCCACGACGAAGCTGGTGGAGTTCAGCCGATATGCCGCGGATGAACGGGTCGAAGACCAGCGCCCATATGGTTCCACTGAGTGGCATCCTTGGGCCGCGCCAGACTCGGCACTGAGAAGGGGGCGCCGAACACCCCCAATGGTGAGGCAACACAGCGGGTTCGTGCAGCAGCACGTCAAGATCTTGGCAAAGCTTCCCTGGATGCCCCACCTCGCTAGGACTGCCCATAACCATTGTCGAATCATCGAAGGGAATGCGGCCGCGATGTCCATGGGCGCGAAGATGGGCACCAGAGTGCCAGCATTGGGGTCCGTGCTGGAGAGCCTCGCTTGCATGTCAACCTGCACAACGTTGTGCAGGAATTGGCGGCCTCGAACAAATCCCTTGAGCTCCACTGGCGTGTCCTTCGCTAGGTGCGAGACAGAGAGTATGGCTGCTGAGGCGATGAGTTTCACGTCTGTGTTTCTCATGCTGAGGGGCCGTCGTGTGATCGGCGCGCGCGTGCACTCACAATTCCCCAGCGGCTCGTCACCCTTGGGCAGCATGGCCATCATCGCGTGATTCAGGTCGCGCGGTGCCCCGTAGTCTGTCATGTGGGAGACGAGCTTGGCCAAGATGGGGGGAGCTCCAGGCGAACGAAGCCAGGCACGGTATGGTAGCCCGCCTGGTCCAGGCGCGGAATCGCCAGCTCGTTTAGCAACTTGTCGCAGCTCTTCTTCACCTGGTACGGCATATTCAAGCGCGGGGCGCCGAGGGAAGACACGGTCGAAGCATTCTTGAACATCTTGGTCCGAAATCGTGCGCGCGGCAAAGATCGGGCCCCAGTGGCTCATAGTGGCCGCGTGCATCTGACTCGGCTCGTGAACTGCGTCTCCAGTCGTGATTTTGATGCCAGCTAGGATGAGGCGTCTCGAGAAGGGCCGCCATAGTTCACCTTTACGAGCATGTTGGCGGGCACGATGCCGCCATTGGCCACCAAGCTGTACATTCTGTTTCGCGCATTCAACTCTGGCATTTGCAGCAGCACGGGCGCGCCGTTCTTCAGCAAGTGAGGAATGAGTGTCGAGGGTCTCGTTGGTGTAGTCGACTGGTTGGATGAGCTTGACGCTGTCACCGTCAATCTGGAGGTATTTGCGGCCGACCTCCGTGTTATTCCTGAGCGTGCAGGCAAGGTCTTTGTTCTGGTTCCAGACAGCGCGGGCGATGCTTCTCAGGGTCATGCCGCAGATCTCCTTGCTGATGTCCGCGTTCTGCGAGTCAAGTTCGGCCGTGGGAATCTTCGTGAGCGTGTTCCTGGTCAAGCGGGCGGCCTCGTGCATCAATGATTTCTGGAATCGCCATTGATGAACTGGGTCATAGCGGGAAAGATCATGTCGAGCGGATAACTTCTCGTAGTGGTGAGCGTAGTGCGGAGAATCAGATAGAAAAGCGGGAACAGGTTGATCTTGCACGGGTTTGCTGTGTGCAGGACGAATGCGGAGAAACATGATCTTGTGGTCGCTCATCATGCCGGTTGGGCTTTCGAGTGGGGAGTCGTCAGCCTTGAGTTCAATATCCATGAAGGGAATGTCATGCGAGGTCAGGGAGACGAAGCAGCGGTCGATGGTGCTCTCCGCGTGGTTGGCAACCGCGCGGTGCGTGGTAGCCATCGCGGTTATCTCGAGCATCCTTGAAGAGGTTCTGCCAGAAGGGTGGCTGGAACTGGTTATCTGCTCGCCTCGACCGTGGTGGGGTCGATCGGGGAGAGTAGACTCCTCGGTGGGTGCGCCGAGATGTTGAAGTCACCGAGCATGATGAATGTCCTCCCGTGTGGATCAGCTGCCACGTGATCCCGCTGTAGCTGCCAATGTTCACGGATGGCAACACGATCACTCGGCGACAGGTCGTAGTTGTGGATATTGAAGATCACAGTCTCATATTGACGCGATGAATCCCGTATGCTGAGCGAAGCAGCTCTCCCAGGAACGACTT